CAGGGCCTTGTACATGTGAGGCAAGCACTCTACCAACTGAGCTATATTTCCCAGCCCTAAAGCTTATTTCTTAATTGGGATGTAAGTTGCATACCATAGAACTCATTCTTTTGAAACGTGCAGTTCAGTGGTTTAATATATTCAGAATTGTAGAACCATCACCACAATCCATTATAGAATATCCTTAGCCATTGCCCCCAGTACTCTCCTCAGTCCCTGGCCACAGCTGCTCTGCTCTGTGTCTATGGACTTGCCTGTTCTGAACACTAATGCAAATGCATCATAGACTTTTGTGTCTGGCTTCTTTGACTTAGGCTCATCCAGGTTGTAGCATGTATCAGGACTTTATTCGTTTTTATAGTTGATTAATATTCCATTATATCGATGCATCACATTTTGTTTATTCATTCATCATGTGACTGATATTTAGATTCTTTCTCCCTTTTGGCTGCTTATGAGTGAAATTGCTATGTTTATGTTCAAGATTTGTGTGTGTGATGTGTATGTGTGTATGTATGCTGGAGATGAAAGATTGAATCCAGGGCTTTGAGCATGCTAAACATATACCTTATCACTGGGCTACACACATAGTCCTGTGGACAAGAGTTTATGTGCATATTTTTAGTTTTGGTTTTTTTGAATATGTAATTTGAAGTGCATAAACTTTACTCTTAAATTATATCATTCTGTTCTCCTGTATTACCAAATTTTATTCTTTTTGTACATTAGCTTATAAACAAAGTTTGTATGTAATCCCAGCGGCTCAGAGGCTGAAGCAGGAGGATCGCAAGTTCAAAGCTAACCTCAGTAACAGCACAGCCCTAAGCAATTTATTGAGATTGTGGGTTTTTTTGTTGTTGTTGTTTTGTTTTTTTGAGAGAGAGAGAATTTTTTAATATTTATTTTTCAGTTTTCGGTGCACACAACATCTTTGTATGTGGTGCTGAGGATCGAACCCGGGCCGCATACATGCCAGGCGAGCGTGCTACCGCTTGAGCCACATCCCCAGCCTGAGATTGTGGTTTTTTTTGTTTGTTTGTTTGTTTTTTTAATTTTTTAATATTTATTTTTTAGTCATTGGTGGACACAACATCTTTCTTTGTATGTGGTGCTGAGGATCGAACCTGGGCCGCACACATGCCAGGCGAGCGCGCTACCGCTTGAGCCACACATCCTCAGCCCCTGAGATTGTGTTTTTAAATAAAAAAATAAAAAAAGCTGGGGATGTGGCTCAGTGGTTAAGCCCCTCTGGGTTCATTCCCTGAAACCATTAAAAAAAATGTGCATTTTGTCTGTATGTTGTTTCTTTTTTTCGTTTTTGTTTTTATTTGGTACCAGGAATTGAACCCAGGGGCGCTTAACCACTGAGCCATATCTCTAGCCCTTTTATATAATTTATTTAGAAACAGGGTCTCACTGAGTTGCTTAAGGACTCACTAAGTTGCTGAGGCTGGCTTTGAATTCAGGATCCTCCTCTCTTAGCCTGTCAGGCTGCTGGGATTACAGGCATGCATCACTGCACCCAGCTTGTTTCTGTCTTTGATGTTTTTTTGTTGTTGCTGTTTTGTTCTGTTTTTCCAGTTATTTTTGTCTCCTTGAGTGTAAGCTTGACAAAGTTAGGCATTATCTTGTTTCTCTATAATCTTGTTTTGAGTTGGGATCTTTCAGTGTTGCTTTAGGCTTGTCTCAAATACCTGGGCTAAGGTGATCCTCCTGCCTCAGCCTCCTAAGTAGCCAGGACTACAGGCATATGCCATCACATCCAGCTTTAATCTTACATTTATAGTGCTCTGCTGCCTGGCAGACAGTGGGTATTCCAGAAATAATTTTTGAATGAATATTAACATATTAAATGCATTTTGAGTTTTCTGTTTTCACGTTGTGACAGTGGAGTAAGAAATCCTTCCCCCAATTATTAAGGCTGGGCAACATATTCCAGCTATATGTACAGAATGATCTCTCTTGTGGCTGTGACAGTTTTGTCATTGAGGTGATCTAGAGGCACTGCTATCTTAGTGAGTCCTTAACCTCAGATAGTAGCTTTCTGTCTTAACTTGTGATAACTTCATGAAGCTATTCTAGTAGAGTAATATTTTCTGGTCTTTTCATCTCAGGGTATTAAAAAATACTATTTTTTTATTTCCATTTGTATGTTTCGAATTTTTTATATTTTAATGCATGGGCATTAATTTCTAGCTGCTATTGAAACATCTATTTTTTTCATTTAAAATAATTTATTTTGGTCTTTACCTTGTAGAATGATTTGAGAGAACGCTTTAGTGCAGCCAACAGTGCCTCCAAAATTTTGCAGGAACGAATTGAAGAAATGAGAACAAGCAATAAAGAAAAAGACAATACCATCATTCGACTAAAATCTAGGCTGCAGGATTTAGAAGAAGCATTTGAGAATGCTTACAAACTTTCAGATGATAAAGAAGCAAGACTAAAACAAGAAAACAAAATGTTTCAAGATGTGAGTAACAAAAAATGGTAACTTAATTACATGGTTGGCTAAAAGTGGTTTACTTAAGTCTTGTACTGTACAAGCTATTATTAGGACTTTTTCCAAGTTTATTTTGGTTTGGGGTACCTTGGCTATAGCTGTAGGTTTATACCCTCCTGGGGAGGCAGCTTGGTCTTGTCTTAAAGCAGAAAGTCAGAGCTCTAAAATGCTGGCCTTGCTCCCACACCGTCTGTCTTTAGCAGACCAACTTTTGAGCTATCATGACATCTGTCTGGCAGAGTAAAATATTATGAACCAGATTTAGAACAAGTTAGATTTAATTTTTTCACTTTGATTTAATTTCACTTAAAATTTAGATTTCTTGGTTTAAGGGCATAGCTCAGTGGTAGAGCAGTTGCTTGGTGCACATAAGGCTCTAGGTTTAGTCCCTAGTACTGCAGAAACACACCCTCCCCCGAAATGTGCTGGGTTTCTCTGTTCTAAAAGGCTCAGGGGTCACTCCAGTTAAACTGGGCTAACTGGGCTGCACGAAATAACCACATAAGAGACACAAATACCTTTTTCTTTGGGGTTGCTGTGACGGCTGCTCTGACCTTAAGGGTCCACAGAAAAAGAGAGAGCGAGAGCACGCACTGACCCCTTTTATTGAGGAGAAGCTATTCAAATGAGGCAAGGGGTCAGGTTTCAGGGGGCTGAGTTTATCTTCATGATGTCCACTGTCAGCAGGTTGACTGACACCTGGGTAAACCACATCCAAGGGCACAGTAAGAGAAGGGGACACACACAAGGCACTTCCATGGAAGATTCTATCCTAAACAGGGCAAGGGGTTATATTACAAAGGAACAGGTGAGCGAAGCTTCACCCATGGGGCTGTAGCAAGACACCTACCTTCGGACCCAAGAAGGGTGGGGAAAGTTCTGCCACATTTCTGCCACTGAGCGCCTCAGCATCCAGCTGGGGAATGTAACCCAGTCACGTGAAGGTTGGTCTCCCACAGAAATGTATTTATTTAACATTAATACTGGATGGTTGTAGGTTGTATCTTTTTTTTGTTTTTCTTAATGTCTTTTTTCAGATTATTATGGTACATAAGTAATCTGATACTTGATAGGTTTAGAAGTGCCTCTTGTTCCTTTTTTAAAAAATATATTTTTAGTTGGTTTTTTTTTTTTTTGCTACCTTTCCTATCCCCTACTATCCCCCCTCCCCTCCCCTCCCCTCCCATCTTCCCTCTCTACCTCCTCTTATTTTTAGTTGTTGATAAACCATTTTTTTACTTGTATGTGGTGCTGAGATTCAAACCCAGTGCCTCATGTGTGCAAGGCAAGCGCTCTACCTCTGAGCCACAATCCCACAACTCTTGCATTTGTGATGAGCCAAGGTGAAATTGCTTAGAAGAATATAACGTACCATGTAGATGCAAATAATTCTTAGTACTGTTTATAGCTGGGCGTGGTGGGGCATGCCTGTAATCTCAGCTTCCGAGGGGCAGAAGGTGGTGACTGAGGTAGGAGGCTCAGAAGTTTGAGGCCAACTTAACAAAATGAGGCCCCTCACCTATGTCTTTTTAAATAAATTACTTAGCTATGTGAAATTTTCAGCACTCTGCTTTTACTCTATTGAACAAGCAGCAAAATATAATGTGTAACAATTCTAAAAAACAACAGTATAGGGCTAGGGTTGTGACTCAATGTTAGAGCGCTCCTAGGGGAAGCCCTGGGTTTGATCCTCAGCACCATATAAAAATAAATAAAATAAAGTTATTGTGTCCACTACAATTAAAAAATAAATATTTTTTAAAAATGCAGGGGCTGGGGCTGTAGCCAAGTGGCAGAGCACTTGCCTAGCATGTGTGAGACACTGGGTTCAATCCCTAGCACCACATAATATAAAGGCATTCTGTCCATCTACAACTTCAAGAAAATAATTTTAAAAAATGCAGAAAAGGTGGGGTTGTAGCTCAGTGGTGGAGTGCTTGCCTAGCATGTGTGAAGCACTGGGTTCAATCCTCAGCACCACATAAAAGTAAATAAATATAGTTTAGGAAATATATATTTTTTTATTTTAGTTGAAGATAGATAATTGAAGATAGTTGAATAAATAAATAAATAAATATATTTTTAAAGATTAGTACAGATTCTACTTTTGAAAATACTTAAAAGGCCTTAACTAACATCATCATCATCATCATTATTGTCATTATTTTTACTTTTTAAAAAAATTGTTTTGTAGTTGTGGAGGGACAGAATACCTTTATTTTATTTGTTGATAAATGATGTGGTGCTAAGGATCGAACCCATTGCCTCACACGTGCTAGGCAAGTGCTGTGCCACTGAGCTACAGCCCCAGCCCTGTTTTACTTTTGAAATTTCAAACTTAAAGAAAACTCACAAGCATAAATTAGGAATTGTTTCTGTATTGCCTTTACCAGAATCACCAATTCTGTGTAGTCCTCTATCTGCATGACATTGGCATTTTGGGAGGGTGTGAGCTGTTATTTTGTACACTATCCCTTAATTGATGTTGTGATGTTTAATTTTGTGATGCAGTTCTTTGTTTTTCCTTGTAGCTCTTAGGAGAGTACGAGTCCCTTGGAAAAGAACACGGACGAGTAAAGGTAATGGATGAGGCTGCCTGTCCTGGATTTCATTTGAGGCAAGAGCCCCGTCCTGGGGACTAAGGAGCCTGTCCTCCTCCTCCACTCCTCCCTTCCTCACCCCATACTGTTTGAACGGAACTACTTACTCTTTCTGGGTGGATACTCTTTTTTTCCCCCAAATGTCTGCCCTACTTAACCCACAAGTTTGTTTCATTAATTTAACAGACATTTGCTGACTGGCTCTTCCCTTTGTGATGAGTGGAGGTGAAATTGTTTAGAAGAATATAACTTCCATGTAGATGCAAATAATTTTTAGTACTGTTTATAGCTGGACGTGGTGGGTTATACCTGTAATCCCAGCTCCTAGGGGGCAGATGGTGGTGCCTGAGGCAGGAGGCTCAGAAGTTGGAGGCCAACTTAGCAAGACCTTATTGAAAGGCCTGGGGTATAGCTCAGTGGTAGAGTGCCCACCTAACATGCATGATGCCCTGGGTTTGATCCCCAGTACCACCAAAAATAAAAAATAAAGTAAAAATAAATACATGTCTCCACACAGTTTACATTTACAGTTTTGAGTTTTTCAAAACATGAATGTTTTTTTGTGGGTATGAGTTTATGAGTATATTCATTTTATCTGAATTCTTAATTAGAAATCTGTTTGGCATCTGCATATATGAATCTGTGAAATCTCACAATGTACTGAAAGTAGAGTTGAGGAGTTTCTGTTGCCTGAAATTCAGGGTTGTGAATAAGGTTGGTATGAAGGCCCATGTAGCTCCACAGCCCCTCCAGCCTGCCAAGGGCTCTAGGGGTTCAGGGATGACTCACACTATATGTCAAACCCATTACTGCAGGGATCTGTTTTATCATTCTATTAAGCTCTTAGTTATTTTTGTGGTTAAAATACATCCATTGGGATTGTTTCTAATTTGACAAAGCATAATGAACTTGACTTGGCATACTGAAGTGCTGTTGTAGGCCTGTGATCTGGGCTCTCTCTCCTTCCCCTTTGTTGTCTGCATTGGTGCACTCTGCCCCTGAGCTACAGCTCTAGCCCTATCTATCTATCTATCTATCAATTTATTTATTTATTTATTTATTTATGGTGCCAGGGACTGAACCCAGGGACACAACCACTGAGCCTCATCCTCAGCCCTTTTTTGTATTTTATTTAGAGACAGGATCTCACTGATTTGTTGAGGTTGGCTTTGAACTCATGATCCTCCTGTCAGCCTCCTAAGGTCTCATTAAAACTATAGAGTATGCAGAGACTGACCTTGGGAATATTTGTATAATTTGTATAATTCATAGCTAATTGGTTTGGTCTTAGTTTTGTCTCATGCATTTTAAAGGATACATCTGAATACTTCAGTTATCTGAATTTTTTCTTTATTTTCACAGGATACATTAAATATAACTGAGAACAAACTGCTTGATGCACAAACTCAGATTTCTGATTTGAAAAGGTAAAATACCTCTAATTGTTCCTTTACGTGTCTGTATTAAAGAATTTTTGTTTTCTTGAGGATTTTTAAATAGTTTGAAAACTAGCTTTATCCTAGTCTTTCTAGTCTTTCTCCTGACGTGGAATACATTTGATCTTAGCCAGAGATTTTTTTTTAAATTGTTGATGGACCTTTATATTATTCATTTATTTATATGTGGTGCTGAGAATCGAACCCAGTGCTTCACACATGCAAGGCAAGTGCTCTACCACTGAGCCACAATCCCAGCTCCCTTAGCCAGAGATTTTTGAAGTGATTAGAACAGTGCTGGTGGTGATTGAGCCTCAGGGATGAGCACTACCCCAGACATTGAGTGTTTTTAGCATTGGTAAGATCTGAGTGATATTTAACCTCTGAAAAGAACTTTAGGAAGCAGTTAGTGATCATGGGTTTTGGGTTTTTTTGGCACTGGAAATTAAACTCAGGTACTCTTACCAATAGACTGCATCCCAGCCCTTTTAAATTCTGAGACAGGGTCTCACTAAGTTGCTCAGGCTGACCTTGAGCTAGTGATCCTCCTGTCTCAGCCTCCTGAGTTGCCGGGATTACAAGTAGGTGCCACCATGCTGGCTCACTTATTTTTGTGATCCAAAAAGAAAATGAAAGTTTCAACGAAGTTTGTGGTGATCCACTTTCAGAAAGACCCAGTTTAGAGACTATATTAATCTGACTTGCTTAATTAAATCGGAAAAGAGTCATAAATAATCCATATTGCAAATGATTAGAAATATCTAAATTGACTTTAGAGCATATTTTACGTTTGTGTTTGGATATAAATAATGTCCCTCATTTAGAAATGTTGCTGCTGTCTGAAGGACTCCTCACAGAGGAGGACAGACAGCTGTCTAGAGTTCTCATCTTCCTGACTCTGCCCTGTGAGCCGTTCATTCAGTGAGAGCTTCCTTATCAGATTGGGATAAACATCAGCCCTAAGAGCTATTCTTTCTCAAGCCTTCCTTGCATCAGGGTGGGTGAGAATTCAGGTTTAAAGACATATACAAAGTTTAAAAAAACAGAAGGCAAGGATATCCTGGAAATAATAAACTGACCTGAGTATTCTTCTGCTGGTAAACTTGAAATGGACTTTTATTCTGAACAGCGTACAAATGAGACAAACTGCTTATAAATTGAGAGTTGTTGGGGTATTTTTCCCTTGGCCTTTTTTTAAAATTCCAGAGTTTTTTTTGGGGTACTGGGTATTGAACCTAGGGGCGCTTAACCACTGAACTACATCCCCAGGCCCCACCCCTTTTTATATGTTTTTTTTTTTTTTTGAGACAAAGTCTCACTTATGACCTCGATAAATTGCTGAGGCTAACTTTGAACTTGTAATCCTCCTGTCTTAGCCTCCTGAGTTGCTGGGATTATAGGTGTGTACCATCACATCTGGCTTAGAAAGTTTTTTTCAATAGCTGTTTTCTGTTTCCATGTTTGTGAAACTGTTACCTTTTATACTCTGCATGCACAAATACATATTTGTCACAAATATTAGGATGCAGTTTATTTGATATTTTAATTTATTTTTATTTCATTTATACCCTGCATGTTTTTGATTTGTAATCAAAATTATATAAATTTTTTTACTTGCCCTATTAAGTCTATTTGTTGTTCCATTTTTATTTAGTTGTAGTATATGAAATGTTTCTTTGAACATTTTTGTACTTGTTTTTCTCTTTTTTTTTTCCTGATTTTGTTCAGCTTTTAAAAATTTAATGATGGTAATTTACCATGAAAAAGGTTTATGAAAAAAGACAACTCTTGTAATCTTTTCCAAGAGGGACTGCTTTGTAAGTAACTGTAGTTGAGCATATTTTCAATTTGTTGAAATGTACTTATTTTATTGCTTTTGAATTAGGACAATCTCAAAACTTGAAGCTCAAGTGAAGCAAGTAGAGCATGAAAATATGTTAAGTCTTCGTCATAATTCTAAAACTCATGTGAGACCCTCACGTGCCAAGTAAGTTATTTTATTTAATCTTGGTAAAGCTAGAAGTAGGTGCACACTTCTAAGAAAGCCATGGTTGAAAGAACTTGGATGTGTATAAGCTGGGCTCAGTGCCATATTCTTATAATCCCAGTGACTTGGTCCTGTCTCAAAATGAAAAATAAGAAGGGCTAGGAATGTTCTCAGTGGTAAAGTGCTACTTTACCAGTCCCAGTACCAAATTTGAATCCCTGAACCAAAAAACAAACAAAAAAACCTTAGATGTGTATAAAAAGTTAATGATTAGATAATGTCAGTGTTCCTACACATAGGCATTTACTAAAGTAAGGAAAGAATAGGTTCAAGTTGGGAAAAGGAAATTTGGAATATTTTGTACTTGACTCTTCAACTGTGGGACCTTAGGCAATCACATTTTTTTTTTCCCCTGAAGTTCAGTTTTATTTTCTGTAAAACTAAGCTAACATCTGAAAAGGTCTTTTAGCCCTAAAACTCCAAACATCTTATTCTTGTGTTAATGGCAGAACTTGTAAAGATGGATCTGCATTAGGTTGTATGTATTTTTCTTAGTTATTTCAGAATTAGCATTGCTATAATCTCAGAGTATTATTTTTTCTATCCCCACCCCAGTGGTACTGGGGATGAACCCAGGACCTCACACAGCCTGGAAGCTACATCTCTAGCCTTTAGCCTCTCAGGTTGCTGGGATTTCAGGCATGTGTTACCATGCCCAGGCTTAGAAGATTTTTGAGTGGTAAAATAATGTCATTTGATTTTTACTTTTTAAATATTTCTTCCATGAGGGAAGGATGGAGAGAAAAAAAGAGTAGAAATAGGGGCTGGGGATGTGGCTCAAGAGGTAGCGCACTTGCTTGGCATGTGCAGGGCACTGGGTTTGATCTTCAGCACCACATAAAAATAAAATAAAGATATTGTGTCCACCTAAAACTAAAAAAAAAGAGTAGAAATGGGGAGACTAGTTAGGCTACTGCAGCATTAGGAGAGATGATGTTAACTGGATGGTAATCATAGGCATGAGAGATTCTGGAGATGAAATCCACAGAACATGGTTGTGAATTGGCTGGCAAGGCAAGAAGAGAAGGCTCAGAATAGCTCTTGATTTCTTATTGAACACCTAAATGTGACACATACAAAACTAGGGAAGGGATCAGAATTTTCATTGTGAATATTTTCATTTGAGATTCACATAGATTCCAGGCATCAAGTGGGTAATTTTTTATATATATACTACTAGGGAGTGAATCCAGGGGCACTCAACCACTGAGCCACATACCCAGCCCTTTTTTGTACTTTATTTAGAGATAGGGTCTCACTGATTTGCTTAGGACCTCACTAAGTTGCTGAGTCTGGCTTTGAACTTGTGATCCTCCTGCCTCAGTCTCCCAAGCCTCTGGGATTACAAGTATGTGCCACTACATCCAGTGGTAATTATAAACTTAAGTTTGGAGCTAAAAGTAAGGTCTTAGGCTGGAATTGTGAATATTGAGCCATTTTTTTCTGGGTGGTGCTGCAGCTACAGGATGGATGGGAATTGAGGGTGTTTGGTGAAAAGTGAGCTCAGCAAAAAACCCTGAAGAAACCTGTTTTGATACTGGGTAGAGGAGTTGGCAAAGGAATGAGAAAGAGCTGCTTGAAAACTGGGAAGACTGAAGCAGTCCCTGGTGCCGAGTGCTGCCCAGAGGTTCAGCAGTGTGAGGACTGACGGCATCTATTGGATTTGTAAGGTAGAGGCTGCTAATGCCTAGATTTGGGAAGGAGTGATAGAAGTCAAACCCATTTGAAGTGTATTAAAAAGTGAATGAAAACAATCTAAATGTCCAACACCTGGAATATCCATGTGTTGTAATATATTTATAGATGACACTATACCATGTGACAGAGGTTGGCAAACTACAATCTTCAGGCTGAATCCTGAAGAATAGTTTGTACATTTTAAATGTTTGGAAAAAATATTTCATGATATGTGAAAAATTTATGGAATTCAAATGTCAGTGTCTGTAAATAAGTTTTCATTGGAATGTAAGCAAGGTCATTCATTTATTGATTGTAGTTGCTTTTGCACAACTGCACCAAGGTTGAATAGCTATGATGTTTTTCTTTTTGAGGTGCTATAAGTCTAACTGAGAATATATGTGTTCCTAGGCAGTCACTCTACCACTGAGTTATATCTGCAGCCTTGTTTTTGTGTACTTTAGAATGTGTACAGCTGTGTGTGTATCTTACGGGTTCACACAAATGTAGTAAAAGTATCAAAACATGCTGAGCACACATTTAGTAATAATTTTTTTTTTTTTAAGGAAGAGAAGAATGAGTTTGTAGGGGTTCCCCAGGGACTTTAATTGTATCTGTAGTGTCTCTCTATGTAAACATGTGAAGGGACCAAGTGTAGGTGCACCCCTGCTATTTCAGCTACTAAGGTAAGGCAGGAGAATCTCAAGTTCAAGGCCAGCTTGGACTACTTAGGGAGACCCTGTCTCAAAAATAAAAGGATAGGAACTGGGGATGTAGCTCAAGGTAAAGCATTTGCCTAGCATGTATGAGATCCTGTGTGCAATCTCTAGAGCTGGAAAAAAAAATCTAAAGGATATGTAACAAATAATTAAGATTTCATAATATTGGATGGCCATTGTGTGAGTATTACCTGCATATCTATGCATGCTTGAAATATTTTATTATTTTAAGTGAACAGGAACCAATAAAGAATGAGCATTCAAAATATAAAAGAATTTTTACAGCCTAATAGGAAAAATACAACCTCCTCAGTAAAAAAAAAAAATGGTAAAAGAATATCAATAAGCAATTTACAGAAATAGAAACCTAAATGGCTAATAGAAGTGAAGAGATGCACATTGTGATGAATAGGGAGGAAAGTACAAATTGGAACAGTAATAGGGTAGGGTCCTTGTCAATGGACTAGCCAGATGTACAACCTGATCATCCCAAAGTCTGGCAGAGATGTGAAGAAATAGGAACTCAAACTAGTGGTTGACTGGATGTCAGTGTAACTCATCTGGAGAGTGATTGATAATAGCCAGAAGAGTGAAGAGGATATATACACCCCAAATTCCATATTTCTTTTCTTTTTTTTTTAATTCTAATTAGTTACACATGACATTAGGTTTTCTGTAGTGGTTGCATTTTGACACATTGTACACAAATGGAACACAACTTCTCCATCCTTTGGCTGTACATGGTGCAGTGTCACACCAGTAGTGTAATTATACATGCATATAGGGTAATGATGTGTGTCGCATTCTACTGTCCTCCTCATCCTACAATCCCACTCCTCCCCTTACTCTCCTCTGCACAATCCGAAGTTCTCTCATTCTTCTCTATCCCCCACCCACTATGGATCACATCTGCTGATCAGAGAAAACATCTTTTTTGTTTTTTTGGGGGGGATTGGCTTATCTCACTTAGCATGATAGTCTCTAGTTCCATCCATTTACCTGTAAATGCCATAATTTCATTCTTCTTTAAGGCCGAGTAATATTTCATTGTGTATATGTACCACATTTTCGTTATCCATTCATATGTTGAAAGGTATCTAGATTGGTTCCATAGTTTGGCTATTGTGAATTGAGCTACTATAAACATCAATGTGGCTGTGTCACTGTAGTATGCTGATTTTAAGTCCTTTGGATATAAATCAAGGAGTGGGTGGTTCCGTTTTAAGTTTTCTGGGGAATCTCTATACTTTTTTCCATAGTGGTTGCATCAATTTGCAGTCCTACCAGCAATGTATGAGTGTACTTTTTGCTCACATCTTCACCAACATTTATTGTTGCCTGTATTCTTGATGATTGCCATTCTGATTGGAGTGATAAAAAATCTTAGAGTAGCTTTGATTTGCATTTCTTTGATTGCTAGAGATGATGAATATTTTTTCATATGTTTGTTGATCTATTGTATTTTTTCTGTGAAATGCCTGTTCAGTTCCTTAGCCCATTTATTGATTGGGTTATTTATTGATTCTTGATTTTACTTCTTGCGCTTTAGGAGTTTTGTTAAGAAAGTCAGGTTTCAAGCCAACATGATGAAGATTTGGGCCTACTTTTTTTTTCTATTATGCATAGGGTTTCGGTTCTAGTGCCTAAGTCTTTGATCCACTTTGAGTTGATTTTTTTGCAGGATGAAAGAGAGAAGTTTAATTTCATTTTGCTACATATGGATTTCCAGTTTTTCCAGCACCATCTGTTGAATAGGGTATCTTTCCTCCAAAGAATATTTCTGGTGCCTTTGTCTAGTATGAGATAACCATAATTGTGTGGGTTTAGCTCTTTATCTTCTATTCTGTACCATTGGTCTACATGTCTATTTTGGTGCCAATACCATGCCGTTTTTGTTTCTATTGCTCTTTAGTATACTTTAAGTTCTTATATTGTGATGCCTCCTGCTTCATTCTTCTTGTTAAGGATTTCTTTGGCTATTCTGGGTCTCTTATTTTTCCAAATGAATTTCATGATTACTTTTTTCTAGTTCTATGAAGAATGTCATTAAGATTTTAATAGGAATTGCATTAAATCTGTATAACAGTAGTATGGCCATTTTGACTATATTAATTCTGCCTATCCAAGAGCATGGGAGATGTTTCCATCTTCAAAGGTCTTCTTAAATTTCTTTAGTGTCCTGTAGTTTTCATTGTAGAGGTCTTTCACCTCTTTTTTTTTAGATTTGAATAAATATAAATAAATAAATAAATCTAAATAAATCCAGGATTTTTGGCACATGCCTATTATTCCAGGTATTTTATTTTTTTTCACAGCTATTGTGAATGGGATATTTATTGATTCTTGATTGTAGGAGTCTTGTTAGGGAAGTCAGGTCCTAAGCTGACATGATGAAGATTTGGGCCTACTTTTTCTTCTATTATGCACAGAGTCTCAGTTCTAATTTATCTTGCAATAGATTCATCACTTATGTATAGAAATGCAGCACATTTCCATTCTTTTTTAAAAATATTTTTATTAGTTGTTGATGTATCTTTACCTATTTATTTATGTGTGGTGCTGAGGATCAAACCCAGTGCTTCACACATGCTAAGCAGGCAGTCTACCACTGAGCCACAATCCCATCCCAGCACATTTCCGTTCTTAATTATTTACCTTAGATCAGTTTTTACATGTGTTAATTGTAGCATTGTTGAATGGTGATATATTAGAAACTAAACTGTCATAGCCAGGAAAGAAGATAAATAGCTTGCATTCATACTGTAGGTAAGTGAGTAAAATGATAAAGCTATACATATAAACATGGATAAATCACAAACATAATGGTGAGTAGAAAGAGCAGTGTTAAAAGAATGTATACATTATGCCCTTATTTAAATGCAGCTATATATATAAAATCTTATGTCTTACAATGAAAAACAAATATGGCAAGATCTTAGCATCTGTTGAAACTGAGAGTGGGTAGGTGGGTGCTTGTTGTGTAGTATTCTTTGTAATTTTCTAAGAATGTTTGAGTATTTCTTAATTTAAACATAGGAGGATCCAGGCTTGTTGGCACATGCCTATTATTCCAGTGACTCAGGAGCCTGAGGCAGAAGAATACTAAGGTCTAGACCAGCCTGGGCAACTTAGTGAGAACCTGACTCAAAATAAACAACAATAAAGAGGTTGAGATGTAGCTCAGGGCAGAGCGCCTGGTTCAATCCCAGTGACTCGGTGGCAGTGCTTGCTGGCATGCTGAAGACCCTGGGTTAGGCTCCTGGCACTGACTGAGTATTGACAGGGAAACAGGTAAGAGGCAACTCCTGTTACTGTGAAAGGGCAGAGAGGAAGAGTGAGAGGGCGCTCTTGTCTCAGGGTTTGTTTTCTCCTTGAAGTTGGGGCTGAGGGTGTCAGGGGGCTGAAGGCTGGGAGTTTTGAGGTAGGTGGAGACAAGGACTGTGTAAAGAGTCACCTTGGAGGCCTAGAGCTCACTGATGACAGAAAGGCATGTGGCCAGCATGTGCCCCAGTGGTCCAGCTGAGATGGCGATAGTGCATCTGCACAGTGGTGACTTCCAGCAGCGCTCAGCTGTGGAGGTGTGGATTGGAAATGAGCTCACCTTCACTTAGAAGGGTAGATTTGCTACCAGTCAGATGGTGTGATGGAAGGTGCAAAGGGCAGGAAGTCAAGGCCCTGAGTAATCACGTGGACTCCAGAGCAGACACAGAGGAGCTGGGAGGAGTGGTGAATAGGAAGGAGTCTAGGGCTGGGGGCCAGTGCTGCAGTGATGCCCAGGTTAGGAGTCTGGAATGTTGGTATTTTCTGGGGGGTGTGGTCTCTGGTGACAACAGAGTCCAGTGATGTCCTCCAAAGTGCATGATTAAGAGACGGTCAAACCACTGACAAAGGCACCAGAAACATTCTTTGGAGGAAAGATACCCTATTCAACAGATGGTGCTGGAAAAACTGGAAATCCATATGTAGCAAAATGAAATTAAACTTCTCTCTTTCACCCTGCAAAAAATCAACTCAAGGACAGCTCCTGAAGTCACCTAGTGTGAGGGCAGCAGTAGGTGTGGAGCAGATGGGACAGGTTCAAAGTCTAGCAAAGGGCTTGGGGTTAACATATAAAGGTGTGAACCTCAGATAAGCAGGTTTTTCATGATAACACAGAGACAGTTATAATCTAGAACCGTGCGTGCTGCTCAGTACAGTTGTGCTGATGGCTACATGTGACTATTGAAATTGATTAAATTAACTTTTCTTGGGGGCAGGGGGCGGGAGGTTGTTGGGGGTTGCATCCAAGGGCACTTTGCCACAGGTACATTCCCTACCCTTTTATTTTGAGACAGGGTCTAGCTAAGTGGTGAGGCTGGCCTTGAACTGGAGATCCTTCTTCCTCACTCTCCCAAGTCTCTGGAATTGAGGTCATGTCCTATCACTGTGCCCAGCTAAAGTTAACATTTTAAATTAGCTCCTAGGTCTCACTGGCCACTCTTCAGGTGCTCAGTAGCAGCATGTGATTTGTGGCTACTGTACTGAATGGTGCAAAAGAGAACATTTCTGGTTTTGTAGAAAATTCAATTGAACAGCATTGGTCTGAAGGAACAGGGACACTCTGCTTTATCTCCTTACCTTGATTGCTGCAGGGGAATAGAGGCGTGGGGTGTGCTAGGAGGCAGCCAAGGGCGGTTGAGAGCTCTGAGTACCTGAATATTAACTGCAATTCAGGAATATACAAGAGTAACAGAAACCCAAATCTTAAAATCATAAAATAGAATTCATGTATCGAAAATAGATTATTACATGTGGTTTTTAAGTCATTGTACAAATATGTGATACAGCCTGAAAGCAGATCGACATTTGTGCAGTCTAAGTTGAAGTGTGGTCTAAAGCCAAGTGCAAACCTCTCAGCGTTTCTTGTTCTGATAGCACGCTGGCAACCTCAGATGTCAGCAGGCGGAAGTGGCTGATACCAGGCGCAGAGTATTCCATCTTCACTGGCCAGCCTCTGGACATCCAGGACAGGAAGGTGGATAATCAGCTGGAGGGAACCTATGTTCCTGGGTAAAATAACTGCCACAAAGCCCATTTACAAATGTTATGTTTTCTTAGAGACTTGATTGCCTTTACATGTTCAGAAAGCTATAAAGAGCCATCTCTCCCCCACCCCCATCCCTTTTGCAGTGGTAGGGATGGAATACAGGGCCTTGAGCATGTTGAGCAAGAGCTCCACCACTGAGCTACATCCCTAGCCCAAGAGCCAACTCTTTGGTTCTTTAATGTCTTAATTTCAATGACCTAGTTTTTAATCTTACTTTGCCAGGCTAATTTTTCTTCCTTGGTTCTGCAGTGATTCCCTGCCTGCTCAGGGACACAGCGTGGGCTTGCAGGTTCTGACAAGAGATCCAGAGATCAAGCCCCCATGAATAAGCTCAGCCCTGTCCCTCCGGGTGCTAGACAAATGTATTTCTGCATGTGCAGGATGTTAAAGGATTGGGAAGCAATATATGCACGATCAGTTTTAAGCATTTTCATTATAAAGCATGAAGCCTCAGGCTGAGATTGTAGCTCAGTGGAACAGCACTTGCCTAGCCCACGTGAGGCACTGGGTTTTATCCTCAGCACCACATAAAGATAAATAAATACAGGAATTGTGTCCATTTACAACTAAAAAATATTTTTAAAAAGCATATGTACTCATTGTGCAGTATAATTGTCTGCTCTCCTGTTACTCCATTAACGACCCAGAACTGTGTGTAGACCTTGCTTGATCTACTCCAAGAATTTAGAACGTTTATTTCTCTAGTTCTGGGGGCTGCAAGGGCAAGATCAGAGAGCAGCATATCAGAGGCTTGGAGAGGGCCTTCTTCCCATGGGTGTCTGCACATAGCCTGCCCTTGGTGTTGGCCAGGGAGAGTGCTGTCGTGTTTCCTTCTCTTTTTAAAATGAGGGTATTAATCCCATCATGAAGGTACCACTCTTGTGACTTCATCTAGGCCTAATTGCCTCCCCCAAAGCTTCACTCCTAAGTACCATCACTTAAGATTAGAATTTCAACCTGTACATTTGGGGGTGAGGCAGATACATACAGGTATTCAGTCCATAGCACTTATAATTACAATTATTATTTAAGGTATTATTCTCCTCCTGAAAAGGATTCTTCTCCTGGAAGTTCACCAACAAGCTTCTTGATTAAAAAACAAAGAGAGACTTCAGACACACCGATCATGAAAGCATTAAAAGAACTTGATGAAGAAAAGATACTTAAAAATTGGGGGACACAGACAGAGAAAGAGGATACCTCAAGTAGTAAGTGTTTAGTTTATTCCTTGTTTAACAGACAGATTGATTTAAGTATTGTCCCTTTTCACCCATTATATTACCTTCTTTAAAATTAAATTCTTGAGTTAATACTGTGAAGTATTATTCAACTTATGAAACTGCTGCTTCAGCCCCACTTCATAGATAATTGAATCTCCTATTTAATAATTTATCACAGTCCTGGCATATTGCATATTATGTTTTGATTATTAAAAAGGCTTATGTGGCATTCATTTTTTTGGAGGGGGGTAGTATAAGGGATGGAACTCAGGGCCTCATGCATGCTAGGCAGGTGATTTCCCACTGAGCTATACCCAGCCCTAATGTGGCATTCTTAAGGATGCTTGAAAAATGTCTACATATTGGGGCTGGGGATGTGGCTCAAGCAGTAGCGCACTCACCTGATATGCTTTCGACCCGGGTTCGAGCCTCAGCACCACATGCCAACAAAGATGTTGTGTCCGCCGAGAACTGAAAAATAAATATTAAAAATTCTCTCTCTCTCTCACTCTCTCTTTAAAAAAAAAAGAAAAATGTCTACATACCTTTGTCTTGCATGCATGCACTAGAAAATTGTGTCAGACATTTAGTATTTTCAAAGTGAGGTGTAATGTTTCCTATTATTTCTTCCCTTTGTTATTGAGCATCTATAAGAAGGATGAGAAGGGTCTCTAATGCTGTACGTTTTCACAGTTCCAGGTCACTAGTGCTTCTCTAGCTACCTGGGCCCGTGTGCTGAGGCCCGCCTCAAGCCTTGCATCTTTGATGTTGCATCCCACAGCAGTGTCTCCTAGTAAATAAATTAGTAACCTACTTCCTAAAATAAACTCCTGAAAATTCACCTTGAATGCCAGTTGTAAACAGGAAGCCAGAGTGAATTCAGTATTAACTCCCATGTTTTTCTTCATAAGTCCTTTTCTATCATAGTGGTGCATTTACTAATAACTGTCACAGCTGTGATGGTAAGAAGAGGTGCTGTGAGCAGAACATGTACTCAGTGAAGGCCTTGTGCACGGTGACATCTGTGATAGGCAGGTAACTGAAAACAGGTTTGATCTGATTTTTTTTCCCCCCTCACATTTGTCTGCTACAGAATTAGTGAATTCTCGGCAAACTGAATCTTCAGTCAATGCAAATCCTTCCCCAGAGAAATGTGCTCAGCAGAGACAAAAGAGACAGAATTCTGCTTCACAGAGATCATCATCTTTACCACCTTCAAATCGTAAATCCAGTACTCCAAGTAAGGATTAGACATGTGTGTCTCTTGGGCTGGAGAGAGTGATGTCTGAGTTATGTGTGCTATTTCCTAATGGTAGAGTGCCCTGGGCACATGATGTCTAAACACAGTCATTTTTAATAAGTAAAATTGTCTGGTTGCACAGATACTGCCAACATCACTTAAGAAATCTCAAGTTTATTTAGTTAGAGGGGAGGGAGGGGAGGGGAGGGGGTCTGGAGGGTAGGAATGATAGTAGAATGAATTAGACATTATCATCCTATGTGCATATATGATTACATGACCTGTGCAACTCCACATCATGTACAGCCAAATGAATGAGAAGTTAATACTCCACTTATATATGATGTGTCAAAATGCATTTTATTGTCATGTATAACTAATTAGAATTTTAAAAATGAGCTTTCACAAAAAATCTCTTAAAGTTTATTTATTTAATTTTTTATTTTTTTAAAATATTTTTTTAGTTGTAGTTAGACATAATACCTTTATTTTATTTATTTATTTTTATGTGTTGCTGAGGATCGAACCCAGGGCCTCGGATGTGCTAGACGAATGCTCTACCACTGAGCCACAACCCCAGCCCCTCTTAAAGTTTAAGTGAGATATTTTTGTCTGTCCAATAAATTGTTTGCAACGGATACCACTTCAAAGAATTTGATGGTAGTAGACAGTTATTAAAAATTCATTCTAACAAATCAGTTCATGCTAGTCTAAAAACAGAAAGTGCTCTTATATATTTGACCTCAGTTACTTGGGATCAGTCACCTCTTCTTGGCCATTTACAGGTTTGTTTTAAAATTGAGGCATTGGATTACTGTGCTCAGTTCCTCCCTCACGACAGCTGAGGACTTGTCCTCACAGTGCCATGCAGGTGTTGTGGGGGTATTTGCTTTGTATTGCTTTCCCATCTTAGTTTAGTCCACCTGGAAAACCCTGGGCAACCAGCTTGGAACCAGAGCACTAATGTTGTACTCTGCTTTACTCAAACGTCAACAGGGGTTCCCTTTAGATGTCAGGGTTATAAGTTATTTTTTTTTTTTTAATTTTTTGTATTCTTGTTTATCTCTCAGGAAGTTTTACAATGAAATTGTATTCTTTTTAAAATTAGGAAAAAGTCATCTGCTGAAAAACTTTGTTCTGCTAACATAATGCATGTTAAAGGAAAAGAATATTTTCTCTGTTTTCTTTTTTAGCAAAAAGAGAGATTATGTTAACACCAGTGACTGTGGCTTATAGTCCAAAGCGATCCCCTAAAGAAAATTTATCTCCAGGATTTAGTCATCTACTTAGCAAAAATGAAAGCAATCCAATTAGGTAAGTTCTTCAAAACTGGAATAGAACATACATTACTGATTTTTAAAATGTCAACTTATGCCTCTGGCTATCAGTAATTTTTCAGTTACCAGTGGGAGTTCTGTGGGTTTAAATCATTTACATCAAAGTCATAGTACAAATAAAACACTACAGTGTGAGGAAACAGTTTTTAACCATGTAAACTTGCTTCTGCTAGACTTTTTAGTACCACCTCAGCATCCCATGCAGCTTTTGGATGTAGGACAAGTTTTTTTTTTTTCCCTGAAAAGGTTTTATGACACAGGGAAACTTTTGAACCATTTGAGTTAGAACATGGGCTGCAAAAGGATGGCCTTGGCACTAGATACAAGTTCACCTGCTCCTGAGCAACTGTCCTTTCCATGATAGGGGTAGACCTTGGGGAGGGGAGGACCTTGCCTTCTGGTGCATAAGGTCTCGGGAGGTCACTTAAGCACACTGAACCTCAGTTTTTTCTTCTTAATAAATGGTAATAATGATACCAACCCTGCTTATTTAACACTGTTATAAAATGAGATGACATAGCTGGGTACAGTGGCACATGCCTTTGATCCCAGTGACTCAGGAAACTGAGGCAGGAGGATCTCAAGTTCAAGGCCAGCTGCAGCAACTTAATAAGGCCCTAAGCAACTTAGTGAGACCCTGTCTCAAAAAGTGTTGGGGATGTGGGCTCAGAGGTACAGTGCTCCTGGGTTTAATCCTCAGTACCAGTGGGGTTGGGGATGAAATTACATAATGCTTGGGTAAGTGCTTTAAGTCTCTAATAAGTAAATATATATACATACATATATATTTTTTGGGGGGGGAGGAGGGGGGGGAGTCCTGGGGATTGAACCCGGAGGTACATAACCACTGGCCCACATCCCCAGCCCTTTTTTATATTTTATTTAGAGACAGAGTCTCGCTAAGTTGCTGAGTTTGGCTTTGAATTCACGATCCTCCTGCCTAAGCCTCCAGAGATGCTGGGATTATAGGCATGTGTCACCATGCCCAGCTCTAGTAAGTAAACATAATTTGTATTAAAAAATAATCATTTGAAACAGGAATGGTGGTACATGCCCGTGGTCCCAGCTACTCAGGAGGCTGAGGCAGGAGGATCATAAGTTCTAGTCCAACCTCAGCAACTCAGAAAGACCCTGTCTCAAAATAAAAAGGGCTACGGGTGTAGCTCAGTGGTAGAGCACCCCTGGGTTCAATCCCCATGACCAAAAACGAAAATAAATATTTGATTTCAGTTTTAGAAGATCACGTGACCAGCTTTTTTTAAAGAAGAAACTATATAAATATGTGACTTAATTGGATACCAGCTCATCTTTCTAGTGGAGATAGGGAAAATTAGTTAACATTTTTTTCTCACAAGTAACTTGCTTCATTCAATAGATTTGATATGCTTTTGGATGATTTAGATACTGTTCCTGTGTCCACATTACAACAAAATAATCCAAGAAAACAGCTCCAGTTTGTTCCTCTAGACGACTCAAAAGGTATCTTTTCCCACAAAATTATTACCTATGGGGGTAGTCATTTTTTCCAAGAGTCCAATATCTTTTCAAGTTCTAAATATTGTCTCATGATATCCTATGCTCACATATTTTCTACTCCAGGGTCTCTAAAAGCAAGCATTCGTGATGCTTCATATTGTTATGTCAGTGCTGTTATTCTCATTGGAAAGTTGGGACGCTGAGATATGGGGATGTTAATGTTTAATTACCAGGGCTGTACTTTCCAGTTATTCTCTTTACTTTTAAACTCTATAATTTATAAGCAGCTTAGGCTTTGGGTAATTTTTTTTCTTTTTTCTCATTGTATTTGAGTTTGGAATAAGATAATTTATATGATGAAATCACTCGTATAGGCACTCAGGATGTTAACTGTTCAGGGTTGGTTTATGTCCACTAGAATGTGATGAGTTTTGTTTAGTTTTTAAACTTTTTTTGTTGCTTTGAGTTTACTTGAAGTCCAGTTACATTTATGTAGCATTTGCTTAAGGGAAATTCCCTTCACTTAGGGAAGCTTGAGGGTTGACAAACTAAGAATAAGGCTTGTAGAGTTCCTTTGAGAAGAAGCACTGAGTACTATGTATGCTCACTTTTGGGAAAATTGATAAGAAATTTCTTTGTTTTCTGACAGAAAAAAGATATTTAGAAAATGCCACTGACAACCATGGTAATCATAACTCTTGCTCTGAATCCTTGCCAAATGGAATGAAGAAAGCATCTGTGAGATCGGCCTGGGAGAAGAATAAGTCAGTTAACTATGAACAGTGTAAGCCTGTTTCAGTAACACCACAGGGTAATGATTTTGAGTATACGGCAAAAATTAGGACCCTAGCTGAAACGGAACGATTTTTTGATGAACTTACAAAAGAAAAGGACCAGGTAAAATTAACAAAAATATTTTTTAAAAAATATTTCTCTGAACTAAGTGCTTATGTCTAAGAACTAGTTAGAAGGGAATTATTGAGTCAGCTCCTACCCAGGGAATTACTCCAGTACTGAAGGTCATATACTAGAAATATAATTGACGACAGAGGAAACTCACATTAAGCCACAGTGGACAAGAAGAAAATATAAGGCTGAAGTCTTTTCCTTCCATTCTGTGTCATAAACCTCTCCAGTAATTAGAATAATTTTGTTTTTATTTAAATTTTTTGTGTTAACAGATTGAGGCAGCACTAAACCGAATGCCTTCTCCTGGAGGAAGAATCACTCTGCAGACAAGATTAAATCAGGTGGGATGTCTGGCTGGACTCTTCGTTAGAGGCTTAGTGCTAGTTGGTGCTCCACTTATCCAGGGCAGTAAACTCAGGGCACACTGAAGCAGTGTGAACAATTCTTGGTGGTTATAGTCATTTTATAACTAACTGTGTACAGGCTTTACATGCTAGCTTTTAGGAGTGAAAACTGATTTTACCTTTAGGCTTAAGGAAAATGGTATTCATATCATTATAACTTGGGAACAAATGGCAGTGTTTTATGTTTTTTTTACATTTTTTTTTTCCCGGTGTTGAAGATGGAACCTAAGGCCTCTTCCATGCTAGGCAAGTGCCCTACCTCTGAGCTACCTTCCCCAGTCCAGTGAGCACCTTTGAACAGATTTCACATTGTTAAGCTCATGCCCTTATGTTAAGTCTTATTTTCTGTTTGCCATCCCATCTCTGCCCATATCTGACATTTTTTTTAAGCCCTTCCTGTGTGGTAAGCTTGGGAAAAGCTGCATTTTTGCAGTTGGAATGACCTTAGAGGTTAAAAAGGGCAAAGAGCTAGAGAAAGAGCTCTGATTCCATTACCAGGCAGGAGGTGGTACAGGCATTGTGGCTTCTGTACATCTTTTCAAAGAGAATTATGAAATGATGAAACATTTAAAAAAATCTGCTTTTAGTAATGTTGTATACATGACAGCAAGTATATATCTCTTATTGCTTTCCAGTGCCTTAACTTCAGTTAAAGTTCATTTTCAGTCTGATCTATGAAACCAGAAAGAACCAAGAAAATAGGACTTTTTCTAGGGCTTATACTTTACCTTCCATTTTTTTCTTTCATTTTTTTAATGTTCTGAAATTTTTTATTGAATAATTTATAAGAATCAATATAGGAAACTCTCAAAATAGTTTAGTAGGAATGCAGAAGGAAAACTGGATACTCTTACTATAAACCAATCTGAAATACTTAATAGATTTTTATATAATGAACATTGTAAGTTATTTCTGGCTCTTAAAATAAGATTTAAAGGGCATTAGTTTTTGTGCATGCATGTCAGTGCTGCTTCAATCCACTAAAAACAAATGATAGCAAAAAAAGGGTCTGAAGATGTTCACATGATTCATAAGTGAAAAAAGAGATGAGAAATGTTCAGCTTCACAAATGAATAAGAATGGTACACATTTAAACAAAGACATCAACTTTTTATTAGCAGGAATTTTTTGGGCAGTGGTACCAGGGATTTAACTCAGGGGCACTCAACCACTGAACTACATCTCCAGCTCTATTTTGTATTTTATTTTGAGACAGGGTCTCACTGAGTTACTTAATGCCTTCCTTTTGCTGAGGCTGGCTTTGAATTTGCGATCCTCCTGCCTCAATCCCCCCGAGCTGCTGGGATTATAGACATGCACCACTGTGCTTGGTTTATTAGCAGGAATTTTTTAGAAAATGAATTCTTAGATGTAGAAAAGCTTATTTCCATACACAGCAGGTAGAAGTAGAAATTGTCTCAAACCTTCTGGAGTACAATTTGACATATCTCCAAACCCTCAGAATTTTACATTTCTTCAAACCTAACACTTTTTTACTTCTGGGGATGATTCCTAAGGCAGTATTTACAGATACTGCAAAGAGAAATGTTTAAGAAATATATTGTTCCAGGCGTGGTGGTGCATGCCTATGAATCCCAGTGACTCAGGAGGCTGAAGTGGGAGGATTACAAGTTCAGAGCCAGGGCTGGGGATGTGGCTCAAGCGGTAGCACGCTTGCCTGGCATGCGTGCGGCCCGGGTTCCATCCTCAGCACCACATACAAAGATGTTGTGTACGCCGAGAACTAAAAAATAAATGTTAAAATTCTCTCTCTCTCTCTCTCTCTCTCTCTCTCAAAAAAGAAGATAAAAAATGAAAAAAAATTTTTCTCTCTCTCTTAAAAAAAAAAAAAAAAAAAAAAAAAAAAACAAGTTCAGAGCCAGCCTCAGTAACTTATCTCGAGGCCCTGTCTCAAAATAAACATAAAAAGGGTTGGTGTTTGGCTCAGTGGTAGAATGCACTTGGGTTCAATCCATGGTACCCAAAAAAAGAAGAAGAAATGTATTGCAATCTTATTTATGGGATTAAAAATTCTGAGCAACCTAAATTTCTATTAAAACTTTTTTAAAAATTCCTGGTTTTATATATTATCAGTAATGGAATAGTGTTTATTAATTTAAAAGGGTATTGTAGAAATATATTTGATAACATGGCAAGAAAGTTCAAATGAAAAATATTTTGAAATATTAATTTGATTTAAGTTTGATTCTGTTTTTATTTTTTTTAAAGTGTGCCTATATACAGAAAATGTATTTTACGTGTTTAAATTAAACAATAGTTAAATCAGGGTTTTTTTGTTTTGTTTTGTTTTTGGTATCAGGAATTGAACCCAGAATGCTTTACCACTATTTCCCCAGCCCAATTTATTTATTTATTTATATTTTTATTTTTTTTTGGTACTGAGGACTGAACTCAGGGCTCTTACCACTCTGACTTTGAACTTGCGATCCTCCCAAACTGCTGGGATTACAGGCATGTGCTACCTCACGATGCTGTTTTTTTCCTTTTTAACTTAGAAATTTTTGTCTAAAGAAAGCTATTTGGTTTTGTGTACGTGGGATACAGCACTGATCTCATATGCCCTGCTCTTGTACTGTTCTCATTTTGTCACAAAGCAGTATCCCTTTCTGGTTGGCTCTCCTGCTATTTCTGTAATTTCCATATACTGAATGTGCCAGACATGTTGAGACTATTATAAAGGGCAGCAGTTATTTTAAAGGGTTGAGAAGCCTATTCATATTGTTTAATTTAAAATAAATCAATAAGACGATTTGTGTTGAAAGCAAAATAATCTGCAATCTTAATGTTTATATTAGCTCTTTTGCTACAAGAAAGGTCAGTTTTGTGGTAATAATAGAACCAACAAAGGTGATGTAGAATTCTCATTACTCTTTCCCCATTATTTTCACCTAGGAAGCCTTGGAAGATCGTTTGGAAAGGATCAACCGAGAACTGGGCTCGGTTCGAATGACACTAAAGAAGTTCCATGTTTTGCGCACCTCTGCAAATCTTTGAGATTTGTAGCCATTAAATTTTGAGACATTTTGTTTGCACTAATGTATAATTATGCACTCAGAAGAGGCGAGCTATTTTGTACTGTTTCTAAGCCTTCAAACAGTACTTTTACAATCATGCTATTCTTACACCTGCTATTTTATACTTCAGATGGCCACATATTTTCAAGATATTTTTGTTATGCTCAGGAATCTCTTCTATATTTTACTATTTAAAAAGCATTATTTTTAAATAGTATATCTTCAATTTATATCGAGAATAAGGAAATGTAAACAGGCAGGCAGCTTGTTTCTAAACAAATAGTATTGTCCTTTTACAATGAACTTTGCACACCAGTTTTATAAACTTGTTCTACATTGTAAATATAACTCATTTTTTTATAAAAATAAATGCTTAACAGCTTCCATAACGACAGACTCTAACACATGCTGAATACATTTTAGCATACCTTTCAGTGGTGTGGAGGTTTACAAAAAATGATGATACAAGTCCTATTGGAAACATGTTTTAAAGTAACTATCAGATAGTAATACTGGATTATTGGAAAGTTTTGAAGGCTCCATAAATATTAGTCATTTTATTTCCCTAAAACCTTATTGTTTATAAGGAAATAAATAAACAGAGGGATATAATTCTCTAATTTTGTCTCATAATAGTACTTTGAAAAAGCAATTGGAGAGCTGAAGGCCTCTGCTCCCCATTCTAATTTGACTTGTATCCCCTGGACAAGAAAGGCATGGGTAAAGCCTTGATGAGACACAGGGATGTACCCTAGCCATCTGTGTCACCCCACGAGGAGCCAGTGGGACCCTGGTTTCCTTATAGCAGGTGACTTCGGCTGCCAGTCAGTTATCTTCCAGGCCTTTTCACCCCTCTCCACCTCCTCCACCCGTGCCAGAAGGAAAAGCAAATACTCCAATTGTCTGTGCTTCAAGATCCCAAGGTTTGGACCAGTGCTCTGCCTGTTTGTGGACAGGGAATGTGTCAACAGAACCTGCTGCCGTTGCTTGACCTGGCTAGAGGGCTGCAGCCCACTGTCTGGGCAGTGCTTCCTGGTTCAGAAGTAGCCTGTGGGCAGCAGCAGGTTAGGATGGCACTGCTTAACCTCCAAAGTTTTTGCTGGCCAGTCAGACCTAGTGCCCACACATTCAAGCTCAGCATGAGTTGGTAAATAGACTGATTAGACACAGGGACATATATTTAGTTGGTAAACAGAACTGATTCCCACTGGCAGTGCTCAGGTTCTAAATCCTGGTTTGCTTTTGAGCGTTTTTCCTCCCTTATGTGGCTCTTAAAAATATGTATTTACAGTGCACCAATTCCACTCAATGACTCCTCAAGGTATGCATGTCTTCCTGCAGGATCTCCAGTGGTTGTTGAGCACCTTTCACCCTACATCACCTGTCTGATCTCCAGGGCTAGGCCCACATCCCTGCTCCCTTCTTCCTGTGGGGATTCTTAGGCAGGAAGAAAGACCCTTGGGACAGAGCACCTGAACTTTTGCACTCAGCTTCTGCAACCAGTTGAAGACTTTGAGCTAATCAGAATTACTTATCAATAGAATCAAGTGCCTTCCTTCTTGATTTTGTCTTCCAGCCCCACACCCCAAACTTCTAGTTAATAATAAAGAAGAAGTTCATTTTAACAGCTTGGGTGTAAACCTAGTAAAGGTGTTGGCTTTATTGGTGATATTCCCTTTAGTGTGTGTGTATATATGACATTCAAAACTAACTAAAACGGGTGCAGTGATGCATGCTTGTAATCCCAGCAGCATGGGAGCCTGAGACATGAGGATTGCAAAGTTCAAAGCCAGCCTCAGCAATTTAGTGAGACACTAAAGCAATTTAGTGAGACTCTGCCTCAAAATATATATAAATTAAAAAAGGGCTGGGGATGTGGCTCAGTGGTTAAACACACTTCATTCCCTTGTATCCCCCCCCACACACACACTCAAAAAAATAAAAAATTGGTAGAATATTTCATTGTCCCCTACTTTAAAAAAAATGTTTTGTTGTTGTTGATGGATATTTATTTATTTACATGTGGTGCTGAGGATTGAACCCAGTTCCTCACACATGCTAGGAAAGCATTCTACCACTGAGCCACAACCCAAGCCCTGTCCCCTACTTTTATTGTAAAGACTACTACATTCTTAAGAGAAAGGAAGTTGTCATTTCTTGCCAAGGAGTTATCTTCTGAGTAGCCTATAATTGGCTTATTCCAAAAAAAGGCATTAAGCTCCATCAAAACATCTTCTGTGCCTCTCCGAAAGCATATGCTTTCATTTTTGAAGTGTGTAATAGATTGGAACTATCAGTTACTTATTTTAAAAAAAAAAAAGAAATTTTATTCTTTTTTTTTTTTTTCATAGCTGTAAAGAAGGGACCCCAGGGAAATTCTTATAGCTGTCTTTCCCTAGGTGATGAATATCTTAGGAATGCTCCAGGGGAACACACGTGGGCCTAAGGTAGGAAAGGTGGCAGTCTTAAAGAGCATCCATTATTACCCCAGGGAGGTAAACTATTTTTGTTGCTGGGGCTGTGTTTCAGTGAAAAACCAAAGTGAACCTTCCACTTCTGGGAGATGCCTTCTAAAATGCAAATGGCAAGTCACCTCTCCTGAGGTCCAGTTTTGCCCTTTTCTTCCCCATACAGAGCCTATCTGCAGGAGCCAGCAGTGGCTCCTGGCCACATCACCAGCTGGAGCTGGAGCAACTATAGCTCACAGCCAAGCTGAGGCAGTGCACAGCTGGGCACAGGGGTTGGAGAGGGGAGACTTCGAGCCAGGCAGACCAGGGTCACACCCTGGCTCAGGTCTGCTTTCCCCAGCTGTGATAGGATCCCTTTCATTAATGAAGATTCTGTCAAGGGCCTGGTGCTTAATAAGTGCATAAATAATACCTTCAGATTCAGTATGAGTTAAGTGGGGTTTTAAGGGAATAGTTGCTTTTGCTCCCCCACCCCCCGCCCCCCATGATACTAGGAATTGAACTCAGTGCCTCACACGTGCTAGGCAAGTACTCTACCACTGAGCCACAACCACAAGCCAAAAAAGGGGTTTTTGTTTTGTTTTGTGATATTGGGGATTAAACCAGTTGGTTCTCTACAACTGAGCTACATCCCACCCAGCCCTTTTTACTTTGTTTTGAGGCAGGGTCTCTAAATTGCTCAGGCGGCCTCCAACTTTCAATCCTCCTGCCTCAGCCTCCTGAGTCACTAGGATTACAGGTGAACTCCACCATTTCTTTTAAATAGGATTATATCCAAAGAAATGACCTAAAAAAAAATACATCTTCGGTTGGCATTTCTGTTGGGGGTCTAAGATGGTCTTGCTCCTTGAAAAGAAAGTGAGAAAGCGAGAGAAGGGCAAGTAAGAAATCAAGTAAGAAGTGAAGAGACCAGGCAGAGATCCACACAAAGCTTTATTTCTCAAAGCTGACAAATAAAGGCCGTCTTTCTATAGAGAGAAGAGAGGCCCCGAGATGTTTGGGGGTTCAGATTTTGTGGGGTAGGGGTTTGGAGTTGGAACTATGGCACTGTGGGATAGGTTCAGGGCTAGGCAGGTGGGAATGGCATGGGATTGGTTTAGGTTGACAGCATCATGGGGCTTTCCATAGCAAAGGGGTCGTGTCCTTCTGAGATTGGCTTAGGGTTATGGTACCATGGGGTAGGTCACTACCTAGGGGGTGGGGGTGGGGAGTTCAGGTAAGAGGAAGTACAGGAAAGTGAAACTTAATATCTTGTAGGATGGCAGTTAACATTTAAAATGGCTGCTCAATGTTAAATCAAGACCCTATACCCTTTGCATGAAAACGTGGGTTTTCTTGGAGTCTAAAGGAATGTTCCTCTGGTGTGGGTTTTGTTGTTCTTAATGACTAAATAATTTAAAATGGATAACCTATCAAATGTTAGTTCAGACAGTAGTTTGATCTTAATAAAATTGGTGATTTGGGAATTTAGAAATAAATACAGACTGTTTTCCTAAAAGTTATTGCCACTGCAATAAAAATAACTTTTCCTTCAAGTGTTCCATGAGTAGACCTCTACAGGTGATGGAGTGGCCTTGAACAAGACCATGTGAAGGAAGTACCAGAGGAAGTACCAGCCACTGGGCCCCTAAAGATTTAGAGAGGGGGCTGGGGATGTGGCTCAAGTGATAGCGCATTCATCTAGCATGCACCACATAAATGTAAAATAAAGATATTGTGTCCACCTTAAAAAAAAAATTAGAGATGACCACTTGGAAATTGATAACCAATCAGAGAGTGTTTGCCTTTTAAATTCCAGGAAAGCCAGGTGATTTGGTGAATGCTGTTTGAATTCGGAACATTTTATTACATGTATAGATGAAAGGTTTATATGTAATAAAATGAAAGGTTTATATGTAATAAAATTAGACATTTCATCCTTTTAATTTTTAAATAATAACAGTTTTTACTAGATTTTAATGTTTATTTGCTCTGCATGTCTGAGAACCAAGCTTTAAAAAATAAATGTAGCTGGGTGTGGTGGCTCACACCTGTAGTCCCAGCTACTTGGGAGGTGGGAGGATCACTTGAGTCCAGGAGTTCAAGACCAGCCTGGGCAACATAGTGAAACTCAGTCTCAAAAAAAAAAAAAAAAAAAAGCTGGGTATAGTGGTGCACACCTGTAATCCCAGCGTCCAGGGAGGCTGAGGCAGGAGGCTCACACATTCAAAGCCAGCCTCAGCAACTTAGTGAGATCTTGTCTCTAAATAAAATATAAAAAGGGCTGGGGATATTAACTCGGTGGCTAAGTGCCCCTGGGTTCAATCCCCGGTACTAAAAAAAAATAATAAAATAATAAATTAAAAATAGATGTACATCTAGAGCCCTTTAGGAATCACAGGTAAATCATATTTGTCATAAGTGAAATATGTCTGGTTATGAGACTTTTTGGGTCTCACTAAACTGATTATATTACACAATTTTGCTGGAAATAATTTCCTGCCCTGTCAAGAGCTCTGGTTTGATAATGTATTAAAAGATACCAGTATTCTTAGGGCCTGTTTCTAAGCCTTTTCTCATCTGATTTGTGCTTTATCTCAGTAGAGACCTCAGCTCTATGAGGAATCAAGCCATAAATTTGCACTTGCTGGAAGTTGTGTATCATGTTGTCACTATGACTACCGATTTCAAGGACAATTATGTATTTAACACTTTCACAGTGACCAATAATGTGAAAAAAATGCTTCATATATAGTGCTCTGATGGGTAGAAGATGACAGTGCTTGTTGCAGTTGCTTTAAATCTAGTCAAACGTTGGAGTAATGAGTCATCAAGCTCCACGAGACCAGGGATCATGTCGTCTTTCTCAAATATGGCACATATGGACATTTAATAAATATTTGTGGATGTGAACTGTCTTATGGTATTAGTGTATTTATTCATACCTTCTTTGGCGGTACTGGGAACTGAACCCAGGGATTCTTACTACAGAGCTATATCCCAAGCCCCACCCCTTTAAATATATATATTTTAGTTGTAAATAGACATTTTTAAAATTTACCTGTATGTAGTGTTGAGATTTGAACCCAAGCCTCACACTTGTTAGGCAAGGGCTGTACCACTGAGCCACAACCCCAGCCCTCTCTAGCCCTTTTTTATATTTTGAGAGGGTCTCACTAGATTACTGAAGCTGGCCTTGAACTTGTGATCCTCCTGCTTCAGTCTCCCAATTGCTGGGATTCAGGTGTGTGCCCCCATGCCTGGCTGAGATAGTTTTTAATGGTGTTTTTAAAGTCTCAGACATATATAAGTCCTTGAAGTTACCTCATTTGTGTATAGTCATCAAAATGCTACAGCGGGGACTAGGGTGTAGCTCAGTAATAAAGCATTTGCCTAGCATATATAAAGCCCCAGGTTCAATCCCCAGCACTGAAAAAAAAAAAAAAAGTTATAATGGGGACTGTAGCACAGTGGCAAAATGCTTGCCTAACTTGCTGGGCCCTAGGTTTAGTTCTCAGTGCTGGGGAACGTTTTAATAAAATGCTACAATGATGTTCTGTCTCGGAGCTCAGTTCCTACTGACTTAACAGAGCAAAGTTTCAAAGAGCCTCACCCTGGAAATGCTCCAGAAATCAATCTTATTGCACTGTAGGGCAGACTGATGGAGGGAAGGAACTGAGGGGGCAGTATTTGATGGAACACCTTTACCCACCTTGGATGGGAGGGCAGTGGTGGTTCTCCCGGCCCTTTCAGGTTGAACATCTGCCCACAACCCAGAGGGATGAATAAATAGCCTGTGTGGTTGGCACTCCTTTACTTTGTCTCAACATATCCCTTATTTTTAATTTTGTTGGGGGGAATACTGGGGATTGAACCCATGGGCTCTTTATGCCTGAAAATTTCCAGCCCTTTTTATTTTTTCAGACAGGATCTCAGTAACTTGCTAGGGCTTCACTTATTTTCTGAGGCCATCCTGGAACTTGCATCTCCCTACCTCAGCCTTCTGAGTTCCCAGTCAGTGGGATTACAGGCATGAGCCACTGTGGGGCCACCGTGCGGCCACCGTGCCCAGCTTGGACCTCTTTATTTTCATCTTATGCTTGCCCTTCCAGGGAAGTATTCCACACTCTCTAGGCCACATAAGGTGATACTAAGTGATGGCTCCACTAAGTTCCATG